GATGCTGATATTTAATGATTAGTATTGATAGTTAGACAATACACACATGTTCTTTAGCGGTATTTAAAACATAAAACGAAAACTATGGTTAAGTTTTCAGATTCGATGTTGACACCTAAACTAATAAAATTGGAACGATCATTTTTGTTAAAGCAAGTACACTTATGTTGGTCTAATTGACAAGTTAGATGTTCGTTATCACCAAGTCATGTCTATTAGTTTTTAATCAACCACCATTTATAATAATATGACAACATACTAACTGAACTATGAGAATTTTTTTGTAATAATATAGCAACATACTAACTGAACTATGAGGAAAATTTCCCAATTCACCAATTTGTAAATATTCCCATTTAGCAACTCCTTAATTGATGACTTACACACAAAGATTTGATCTGTAATAGAATGAAACGAAACAATTGATAAAGATCATGCTAACAAACATTTTACGAGAAATTGAACAAACGTACATGCCGGTAAATAATGATTAGCAATGTTCTAAAAAGCTCGTCATGATTCCAAGGGTTGTATCTGCTGCCTAGCTTTACTAAAATGTCGCTTTAAGTCATATATGTATATAAAAATGGATAATAGTTGAAAATACATATAAAAATATTAATTTATATACAAAATGGTCGTCTTAAGTCACGCCTTACAAACGACGTGGCTCGCCAAAGTTTCGAAAAACTTGAGGCTTAACATTGCCGCCGGGTCACACCTTATGTACTTAGAACCTTGATGATTAGTATTGAAAATCAGACAATAAACACATGTTCTTTAGCAGTTTTTAAAACATAAAAGAAAAACTATGGTTAATGTTGAGCCCTAAAATAATAAAATTGGAACAATCATTTTTGTGAAAGCAAACACCCTTATGTTGGTTTAATTGTCAAGTTAGATGTTTGTTGTCACCAAGTCATGCACATTAGTTTTTAATAAACCACCACTTGTAATAATATGTCAAGTAACTGAACCATGACAATTTTTTTTTCGATTAACCAAGTTGTAAATATTCCCATCATCCAACTTGTCTTTGGCACTGCAGTAGCTGTTCCGATCTTCCTCCACCAGCCAAATGTACGCAATTCTTATATATATTATTAATGGATAAATTTTATGATATTTTATTCAAGTCAAGAGTCGTAAAGCTTTTTAATCGATATATGTATGAAAATTTGTTCTTTTCTGCCAGCTTTTTGGCAACACTCATTTCTAACTGGTTGATTGCTTTTAAATCTAACTGGTTTCTTGCTTTTAAAGAATGTTTTAGGGTTTTATCATATATATTGTTTGATTTGTTCTTTCAAGAAAAAGAATATTTTAGAGAAATAATTATGTTAATTAGTTTCTTTTGATGTTTTCAAATCATAAACACAAGGCGTATATATTACTGACATAACTATATATCACAGGCACCGAAGTTGAAGATTCTTCAAAGGGAAAAGCTACAATCGATTGAGCATTATGAAGTTGATTAGTTTTTTTGGAACCGACAAATATTATTAAGAAAACCACCACCCTAGCAAGACGCTAGGAGGGGCAAAGAGTACAAGAAGAAGGAAATTTACATTCAAATAAAAGGATTGGTATACCAATCAATCCATTGCAAAGTGCAATGTTTTCTCCTATATTTCATCCAAAGAAATACCGTGGACTTTATCGAGTCAACCACTTTGGCAGGGGATGTTCTTAATTTTTTGAACACCCAATCACACCTTGCCTTCCAAAGAAACCATGTAGTCCCATAGCAAATACTAATTAAAACTCTCCTTTTCATCTCACATGATCCCCATTGCGCTGTGAATGCCATTAGCTCTTCAACGGATTCAAAGTGAATATTTGGGAGGTCACACCAGCTAAGCACCCATTCCCATACCCTTACAACCATTGAGCATCGAAAGAGTACATGGGCTGTATCCTCTTCTGCATTCTCACAATAAGAACAAATTGGGGAAGTGATCTGGATACCGCGTTTGAGGAGAGCACAAGCAGTTGGGATTCTTTCCAATTTTACCCTCCACATGAAACAGGTTACCTTCAATGGAATTTCATGAATCCATTTTAGTGTAGACTCCACCGTAGGTAAGTTCCATTGATCAATTTTTTTTCTAAGTCTACCAACTTGGAATACCCCATCACTAGCTAGGGTGCACACCCACTTATCATTTCCCTGCACAGTTTGGAGATTATGAATCCCTTTAATAACCGTACATCATAAGCCCGAGCTGTCGACCTTCAATCGTCAAATCCACTTTGTGATTAGAGAGAGGTTGATCGCCTTGAGAGAACCCAACCCCAATCTGCCGATTTCTTTTGGAGCTGTCACCGACTTCCATGCCACCCAGTTAATCTTCTTCTGATTCTCCGCACCTCCCCATAGGAATCTTCTTCTTATGCTTTCCAGTTTTTTGATAACACTTGTAGGAGCAACAAACAGTGAGAAATAAAAGATAGGAAGGCTGTCGAGAACAGCCTTCACAAGAGTTAGACGACCCCCAAGTGATAGGGTCTTAGACTTCCAACGGTTCAGCCTGGATTGAAATCTCTCAATCACAGGAGCCCAGTGTCTTCTGAATTTCATATTTGCCCCTACAGGCACGCCAAGATATGTGAATGGTAAGTCAGACGGCTCACATCCAAGCGACTCCACTAAGCTTGTTATTTCCTGTTTTTCCACCCCAATTCCAAATACCCGTGACTTATTGAAATTAACTTGTAAAACCGACGATACATGGAAACAACGAAGAATTCTTGCGAGGTTATTTATGTTTTCCTCGCTCCATTCACCGACAAAGAGAGCATCGTCTGCATAGAACAGGTGAGAGAGGGTAAGGTTACTATTGGGGATTCTTGTTCCTATGAAAATACCTTTTGCACAGGCCTCCTTCATTACAATATTCAACCCCTCCATCGCAATTAGAAAGAGGAAGGGGGATAACGGGTCTCCTTGCCTTATTCCACGCCCCATTTCAAATTCCCTAGTTGGCGATCCGTTAACTAGGACTGACAATGTTGCAGATTTCAAGCAACTATGTATCCATCCCCTCCATTTTTCGCCAAATCCCATTTGTCTTTGGACATGGTCAAGATACTCCCAATTGACTAATCAAAAGCTTTATTAAAATCTACCTTAAAAAGTAGCATTTTTTCTTTTGATTTTTTTATCCACGAGTACATTTCGTTGATTATTAGTGGGCCTTCAAGAATGTTACGCCCATCTATAAATGCCGATTGAACATTCCCAATGCACTCGCCAATGATCTTTTTCAGCCTAATAGATAAAACTTTTGAAATTATCTTATACATGCTACCAATTAGACTTATTGGTCTATAGTCTCCGATTGTGAGTGGGTCCTTTATTTTTGGAATAAGGGTGATAAATGAGGCATTACAGCCCCTATTAATGACTCCATATCTTTCAAAATATCTCACTGTGTTCAATATATCATACTTCATTAATTCCCAGTTTCTCTTAAGGAATTTAAAGGAAAATCCATCCGGTCCAGGGCTTTTGTCACTTCTACATGACCAAATTGCCTCTTTTATCTCCTCAACTGTGAATGGGGCTTCAAGGTTTGAGCTTGTCAATGGATCCAAGACACAAAATCTGGAGCTACTGAACTTTGGCCTGGATGGCCACCTTTCTCGGAATTTCTCTTGGTAGAAGTTAAAGATTTCTGCTTTTATTCTTTCAGGGTTGGTGGTCCATTGATCGTCGATAAGCAACCCGACAATCCTGTTCTTTTTTTTTTGTTGTTAATAAAGCCATGGAAGAAAGAATAGTTCTCATCCCCGTCGATAACCCATTTAATTTTCGCCTGCTGTTTGATGTGACTTGTCAAGAATCTCTCCCTTTCCACCAATTTTTGGACTCCTGCGTTTCTTTCTTTAATCTCTTCTTCTGAAAGTAGTCGATCCTCTGCTAGGAGATCAAGCTCATGAATTCTTCTTTTAATTTTCAACATTTCATTCACCTCCTTGGGGTGATCTGTGGCCCGCCAGCCCCTTATCCTATTTTTTAGGAATTTCATTTTTGCCATCAAATACATATCCGGAGCTCTATAACCCTCAAATTCCTTCCAAGCGCTTTTAACTACTTCTTCAAAACCTTCTCGGTCAAGCCATGAATTAAACAGACGGAACGGGGGTTTTCCAAAATCCGCGGAGGATGTTTGTAGGATTATCGGGCTATGATCTGACAGCTCCCTAGGCAGGGCAGTGGTTGAAGTAAAAGGAAAGGAATTGACAAAGTTATTACATACCAGGAATCTATCGAGTTTGCTGAGTTTGTTGAGTGAGTTACAGCAGTAGGTATATCTACTCCCCCCCAATCTGATATCATGAAGGCCCGCATCTGAGATAAATTTGTTGAAATAAAACGCAGAGGAAGCACAGAAATGAGAATTACGACGCTCCTCTCTTCTTCTAACTGTGTTGAAATCTCCAAACAAAATCCACGTTCCTTGTCTCTCCCTTCTAATCTGTAGCAACTCATCCCATACTTTTTTCTTCTCATTCAGATCATGAGGGCCATATATATTTGCCAATATCGTGTTACCTGGGATTCCCTCCCAATCACCAATTGTTATCAAGAACCGGTTTGATTTTATAACTTCGTGCACCTCAAAGATGTTTACATCCCACATGCTCAACAGTCCCCTCGATCTTCCTAACGATTGCATTATCGAGAAGCCAAACTCCTCTGAATCCCAACACCCACGAACATCAATTGCTTCAATGTTTGTCATTTGTGTTTCTTGCACTCCCAGAAATGAGATCCGATTTTGGACCTTAAGTCTTTTAATCCATCTGACTTTATGAGCCTCGCCGATCCCTTTTACATTTAGACTTAGGCAATTCATTACAACTTACAGTGCTCACCTTCCTCTCCCATGGCTTCCTGAAGAATAGGGTCATCAGGGTTCAAGTCGAAACCCAATTCTTTTCCTATCTCGACTGTTTTTACAAGTTCGGAGCGCCAGGGGTTTTGGGGATCTTCATCTATGATCAGCCTGCTGTATCGGAGGGGTATTCAGGTCAATATGCTTTTCTACTAGAGAGATACGAGGAGAATCCGGTAGTGGGACAGTATGTGGCATCGGATCTATATCACCCGAATCAACCACTGGACTAATACTAGGAGTTGAATCTAACACTCTTCTCCTTTTCCCATTGGACCTACCCACTATGAAAGTGTGGGCTTCATTGCAAATAGTTGGATACGGAAAAGGCCCAAAGCATCCAAGTGGGGGGAGGCCGTTACCAGGTCCGTCATGTAATATCTTTGACTTTGGATAACTAGGGTCCAGCTGGCATGCATCGATTCCGTGGCTAGCTTGCTCCATCGATCCGTTAGTCGTTTGAAACTCCATATTTCGAGGTGTCGCTTCAGCTTCTTCCGTCAGAATTTTTGTTTGAACCGTCGCTTCAAGGTGAGCCTCTTCGACTTCCATCTCCGTCCTGGTAGGATCATTCGCCGGAACCCTAAAATTCCCCGGTTCTTGATCATCCAAATCATTGATTTCCGGCCTTATCTCCCCTTCTTCCCTTTCATCGTTTTGCTCAGCCATCTCATCTTCTGATACCGTCTTTTCGTTGCCGTCTTCAGAGGGGTCGAATTTGAATGGAAACCAATCTTCGTCAAATTCGATGATGCCAAGTTTGTATATTTTACCTTCAAATGATGCTTGTATTTCATCGTTAATACGAGTCCTCCTGGAGGTTAGTAGCCCGATCTTAACATGGGATATATCCACTCTGTGGGGAATGTCTTCAAATGGTGCAATCGTCCTCCCAAAACCATCAGTGATAGATCGAAAATTACGCTACCCCCACAAGTGTAGTCAACTTCATGTCTTCGATTAATCTGTTCATCTCGTTTGCATTGGTAAGACTTTGAAGGTTCAACTCCTACTTAGCTATTTTTTATATCATCTATTTATTAGCTACCTATTAATATTAGTTATGGAAAAATTATGAAATTGAACCATATTATGACATTTATGAAAGTGATATCATTTTATTGTGCTAGCGATAAAATTGAACAAGACTCTCAATTTTGCATCACTTTTAACATTATGATAAATTAATTTATAAATTAGTTATTTAAGTTTTTTTTGTAAGGTAACGCGATAAAATTAAAAATAAATTTTAATATTATGATTAATTAATTTAGGATTGTATATTATTGGTAACGATTATTAATGTCCACTTATTTGGAAAAAAATTCAACTATTATAGAAAATAGTTTATGTGGTTTTTTTAGTCAATTTTACATGTCTATTTAGGTATTACACTTAAAACATTTAACCATTTTAAACTATATAAAACTAAGAGGAAATTTCACAAAAGTCATTAAGTTTACACATGAATTCGATTTTGATATTATGTTATATTTTGTCTTAATAACACACTGTTTTCTAATTTATTTATATGTTGACATTTACCCGGTCACCAAATTGTCTGGTGACAAGGCAATCTTTAATGGCATGGCATGAGAACGTGATGCTCTTTGGGGACATCACATTCTAGGTGTAAAAATTGAAAAAAAAAAAACTAAAATATTGTGACTTTTGTGTTATTTATTCAAATAACGACTTTTGTGCAATTTCTTATTATCATAAAAGTACTAGAAATTCCAACACTTATGGATGTTATTATAACTCAAGAATCTTCATGTGATTTTAATATTTGCACTTGAAATATATTTACAATTAGTGTGCTCATTTTCTAAGTGCTCTATAGGAAATAGATCCATCAAAAGAAGCACCAATATGGTGGTTTAAAGCCTAGAACTTAGCTAGTATGATAGACATTTAATTGGAATATACATTTGGAGTTAATGTTTTTGGACAAAGTTATTAACGTACAACACCATCCATGTATGGTACAAGTATGCTCACACACATGTCTATAACTTATGTTTTAATTGTTGGTTTGCCTTATTCATGTAGTCATTCCCTTTTGTTAGTGAATAGTTTCCTTTTGTAGTACCTGCTTCATGCTTCATGCAAAGCGTAGTTCTAGCTTTGTAGTACCTGCTTCATGCAATGGGTAAAACTAGTTCCATAAAACGTTGTATGTATGTGTGTATGTATGATTCCTTCTTTTATTTTCGTTGCTGTAAAAGTCTTTTAAGTGCATAAATTGTTGTGTTAACTCAATTTCATTGATTAAGAAATTGGTATCAGAGCGAGGTTGACCATAAAGGAGATTCAAGTAGTTGGTGACATGAAGAAACTCAACCAACACAGTTATAATATTTGGTCAACTTGCATAATGTCATATATGCAAGGTTGGGACTTGTGCATGGTTATGAATGGATCCGAAATACGAAAACCAGAGGTTAAAGATAACAATGATACCCTTCAAAAGCGGATGATTGTGGGTGGCAAAGCAATGTTGGTTCTTTGAAAAACCATAGAAGAAGAAGCTATAGAACATATCATGGACACGCTGATACCAAAGGAACCATGGGATACATTAGTAATGTTGTTCTAAAAAAGGAATGGAATGGGTTGCAAATGCTAAAAAACTGGCCTTTTGTGTATTTCAAAAAAAGGAAATAAGTATCCAAAAATAATTTAACTAAGTAAAATCAACGTTTAGGGAAATCATTGAGTCAGATCCATAAGCCCCGATTGGAGACACAAGGATTAAAAGGATAATTAACCATGGTTTAAAGCCTGGGTTCAAAAGTTTTTGTGATGCTCTGTTCCGAATCGTTTCCCATTTGGGTGTGTGTGATGTAATTTAAATGATCTGGGTGTTCGATTTGTATTTTGGAGCCAAGGGATATTTTGGTAAAGTGCTAATAAAAGTGTGGAGCTTCTCGTTACCTTTCTGTGGAAATTAGATTTTTGTTTTGGATATTTTAAGACAGGTATGTGTTGATAAATTTGGAGCTTATCTTTACATTTCCATAGATATAAGGACCGTCGACCTCAGACTTATAATGGAGAAGTTATGGCCTTTGGAAGAATTTAGGGTTTATGGATAACCCTAGTACGTGGGGCTTACTCAGCAAGTACGCGGGACATACTAGTGCGAGGTCTAGTACACGAGGCATACGTTGAGCGCAGTTAGTAGACATGGTCGCGGATGCGAGGCCTCGTATGCTGGGCATACAAGTGTTATGCTTGGTGTATGAGGATATTAAGAAACTTGAATTTTAGGGTGTTGCACACTATGTAAGGTCCTTAAGTCCCTACGATTGGCCTCTTTATTAGCCTTCATAGCTCTAATACCCTAAATCTCGACCCTTAGCCTCCATTGTTGTGTCTTTGATCTATTGAGAAGAATTTGATGGTTATTTTGCTCTTTTTGAAGGAAGTAAAGAAAATTGAAGGTGCTTTGCTTGGTGTGAAGTTTATAGATCCAAAATCACCACCTATTTTGCAAGTCTTTGGAGGTATCAAGTTCATACTTTGTTTTCTTCTTGCTTATATCTCTTCATATCTTGGTTTGATGCTTTTGGTTCCTTTTGGATTAGTTTGATGGGTTAAACCATTTATAGGGCTCATTCTTTTATATCTAGTCATATAAAGAGTTACTTAGGCTTAAAGGTGCAAGCTTTATGGTTTTGGTGGTCTCATGCATGTATTATGTCATTTGTTAAATCCTTTTGAGTTTTAAGAGCTTCATTAAGTCATGCATTCATGTAAAGTTAGCAACTTAATATGATAAATCAGCCAAAGGAGGTTAGATCTAGGTTTTGGAATGAAGTCTTAAGGGATTTAGAGCTGATAAGGAGAAGATGACTGAATGCGAGGGTACACTAGGCGTACAACTAGGTACGCTTAGCGTACAAGCCCTAAGGCAAGTCAACAGAGTGGGCCTCAGTCATTTGGTGTTCTATTTAGGCCTTGTTTGGTCATCAAAATTCAAGTGTTTTTGAGATAAGAATATTTTAGACCTTGGTTTCAGGCCCTTGAAAGGGTTTAGCCCTAATTTGGAAAATTAGGCCATATGTGGGCCATGGGTGTTTATGTGGAATTTAGGCCTTTAGATTGGTATTTGGGCCTAGGCTTTAGGTTAGGTTGGGCAAAGGGTAAAAAGGTCGTTTACCCTAGTTTGGACTCTTAGTGTGAGTCGGGACCCAATTATTAAATTGATGTTATTTTTGATAATTGATAGGGCGAGTGTTTTAGTGGATTTGCAGACAGAGATTATCCGTGTGTTTCGCCCGTCTGCAGTGAGTTTTCTCACTATGTCCATGGGTTAAATACAAGAATTTTGGCCCGTTACTTGTTGTGTTGAATGCTAGTTGTACCGACATGTATAATATATTTTATTGTAGCTCTAAATCCATAATATTTTATCAAGGTGTTAGTTTAGAGGAGTTAAAAATCATAACTTTTGAATATTTAGGAATTAAGTGTAATTTCCAGATTGGTATGAAATGATTTTCAAGAGTCAAGGGGTGTTTGGTAAAATATTAGAGTTAAATCGAATAGATTTTTGGATGCTGGAGGCTGATTAGTAATATCGAGACTTAGTATGAAAGCATTTTTGGAGACAGGGGCTAAAGGGTAAATTCAAGATTTAAATTGAAAAGGATCTTAGGAGGAGGGACTAATATTGGAATAATGGACCAATGTTTGGGATGAGACACGGGATTAACCCCTGTAACCCTTTCCCCCTCGTTTCTTGTCACAACCCTAAATCTAATGCATTTCACAGTCACCATCATCGGGGAATCCTCCAGCCGCCGCCTCTTCGTCATGAAGCCATAACTGTTGCTACCCAATTGCCGACGAGGATAAACCGCAGAGGAACACATCATGGTGCTGCTGCTGTTGTGGTGATGTTTTACTGACTGTTCACTGCATCTCCACCGTCACCCTCCTCCACAAATGGAGTATATCAGCTCAATGTGCATTTTTGTCCCTGCATGTGTATGTTTTAATGTAGCTTAGCAGGTGAAATTGGTCGGAACGCTAGCAGACCACCATGCCAGCCAACCGTGGTGGCTACTGCCACTTCTATTTATTTCTACCGCCTTCTTTCGTCTCTTGCCGTCACCAGCCACCGTGGGAAGCGGTTGTTGATGGGTTTTGGTCATATGAACATTCCTATGAGCACATACAAACCCTAATGCTTGGATCTAGGTTTCTCTAATTAAACATGTATTGAATCCAAGACTTCTAATGGCTAATTAGGTATAAGAACAATACAAAACCAGAGTTAGAAGCTTACCTTGAAACACTTGTTTGATCTTCTTGTTCTTGGAGCTTTAGAGTCACAATCGTCACTCCTCTAATGACTTACAAACACCAACTAGCAAAGAGAATGATTTGAGAGAGAGAGGAGAGCGGAGGAAATCGGACAGGGTTTCCTTGCGGTAGAAGAGGTGCCGATTTCCCTATCCCAAGGGGTCTATTTATACTCGTAAGGCTCCTAGGGTTTCACCCTTAAACCCTAATTGGATAACTTAAACTCTAAGCAATCCTAATCCTTTCCTTAGATAATCCTTGGACGATTTGAGGCTTACCCTAGCCCTAGAAATTGTCCATACCCTATCTCTTAAGGATTCATAGCCCAAAGTGTAACTATCAAACAATTGACAGTTTATACCCTCTTATTTAATTAATCTCTTTAAGTCACCAAATTAATACTAATTAATCTATGACTTATATTAATCAAATAACAATATTATTATTCCTTATATTATTCTCATAATATATTTATAATATCTATTCTCTCATAATAAATCATCCTGTCAAGTTGCTATGGTGAAGGCAACCCAAAAGGACCATGCACAATCGGGTCAAATACTTGCCTAATATAGTTGCAACCTTAGACACTATTCCAACAATCTCCCACTTGGATAAGTCTAGTAACTATATGCACAAGTACAATTCGATTTGCAATCGTAGCTCTCAAAGACGCTGTCAAACTCTGATCTAATTAATCTAATCCTTTAGATAAGGGATCGTACAGTCCTCTGTTAGACATCATGCTGACAATTCTATGGAATAATTAGTCTAGCATTTGGTTTCTCGATCTCTGATTTATTTGACATAGAACTTAATCGAACACATCAATTCAGTTCTGACCAGGCCCGACACATAAGTCAAATCAAATCATCGAGTGGCCGAGATATCGCTTTTTCCTTCTTAGGATAAAAGTTACAGATAAACTTCAACTTATATGCATTTACTTATTCATTAATCAACTATACACAACAATGCGTTTTATAACATCGAGTTAGCAATGCGTTTTCGCATCATCAATGTACAATCAATTAACAAACAACAAACCATATATCTAGGTTTTAAGACTATATGATATTATCGTCTTGCAATCACCCTTTTTATCGCATTCCATAAGGTGATTCCAGCAAGCGCGGGTTTGTTCCAATGCTCAAAACTAGTTCATAAGCACTCATGAACGTTGTAGCAATCTCTTGCTATGTCTAAAACCGTTTAGACAATCTACACACCTATTCATGACAATCTTCATACATATCTACTTCCAACATATGAACAATTGTGGACAATTTGAATAATTCGATTATTCT